AGACAATTAATTGCCCAGCAAAATTTATTATCGTGACAGGCCTAATTTTGACCAGACTGATGAGCTAAAGGCTAGTCGGAGCGGCGCGGAGGACAAAGCCGAACGCAGCTTTCAGTTTTGGGCTCGGTTCAACTCAGACGAGCCGTTCGCTCGTCGTTCCGATCAAAACCTTTTACCAAACTGAGGCCATTCAAAGAGCTTTCAGCTACAGGTAAGATATTTACTATTCACAATCCTCTCTCAGAACTGTAAAGAAAATCCTGTTAACTTGTGAAATATGAGAATAAACGATGTTTGTTTACTGATGATTAGTTTACAGCGATGGTTACTCACTTCTCCAGGAGGGCCAGAGCCGTGTGAGGGTTGACCCGCAGGTACCTGCAGCTGGGCTTGCCGTAGTCCACCAGGTAAGTGGACCAGTCCCACTGAGTGAACAGGTCCAGTAACTGCAGGGAACATGAAAAGGAAGGTCAGGAATCTGGAGCTTCATTCATGGAACGGTGCTTCTAAATCCAGATCTTAAATGTTTGGGTTCAGACACGACGAACACACCGGATTAAAACTGATCAACGTCCTTAAAGGGATGCCTGTCACCCGCCGCCGTCAGATGAGCCGAGAGGCGGAAGTATGAAGTCAGGAGGACTATCAGCTACCACCAAACACATTTTAGCTTGAGAGCTGTAGGTATCTGCGCCATTTATGTGTTGATGAGCTGTGGCGGCCATCTTGGAAGGAGCTGACCCCCATAAGTTAACGAGATCCAGCGTTTACGTTGAGATCGACTGAGCGCTTCGTGTCGTACGTGACCCACGCTGCCAAAACTGGGTTAATATTTAATTAATTTTCTTCAATTGTCCGTCTGGAAAGCGTCAACACGATCTGCCGCTTGTTGACGTTTGGCGATTCATCGCCGGGAAACGCGATCTTTGTTTACGAGTGCCGCTCCGAAAACTCATTTATTTGTCTAAAATGACATCATCGGGAGTTCCAGCCACACACTGGGAATCCTCACGCTTCACAATGACGCCAACCTTTATATGAAGGGATTTCCCGGCAGGCAAAAGGAAACGATCGGGTTTTTAAGACAAACCTGAACGTATGAATTTAATTTCAGGAAGATGATACTTTAGTTGTAGATGGTGCCTTCATGGACACATCTCGCATATTTTGCTGACGGAAACATCAGGTTAAAAGTTAATGTCTTAAGTTTTAGGTGTAGAGCTCAGAGGATGTGTTGGGCATGACTCTCAGCTACTACCACACAGTCTGAGCTCAACATCTGCTCAGCTGGCTGCGTTGGAGCCGTTTGTGTATTTTGTGGACGGACCTACAGACGAACGTCCACCGACTACTTCCTGGTACATTCATTCTAATGTGTGCACTGGTTCAGGATATATTTTGCTAACACGGAGAAGAGGAAGAGCGGAGGGTCGAAAGTGGAGAGAGATGTCACCTTCCTCTAAGTGTTGCATAACCCGCTCAACATGCGACGAGTCGGGCGAACCTGCGAGCAGGGAGCCCCAGTGAACTCTGGGTAACGCCAAACACACAAGACCCAGAAAGAGAAACCATATGTGAGCGAGGGACGAGAGAGGAGGAAGGACGGAGAGCAAAACCACATGTGGGGAAGATGGAGAGCAAATGAGAGTGGAGATGGAAACAGACACCGAGCGGAGGAGGAGGAGGAGGAGAGGAAGGGCAGCAGGACGCAGATAAGAGCCGGAGAAAGGATGAACGAGTGTTGGAGATAGAGGCGTCTCATCAGGCAAACAGGAAACAGAAGAAAACCCACGAGGGTTCTGAACGAGCCCGACTTTCATGTTCTGGAAACCGAAGCTTTGATCTGCTGCGCGTTTGTTCCAAAGTTCAAGTCACTGTTAGCAAAATATCTCGCCGACCACTGGACGGACTCCATTGAAGCTCTAAAAGTAATTGTTGGCTGAAGATCTACAGTGGATTAAACGGAGCTTAATTTGATCCGGATCCTGCTGGAACAAGACCCGGGAAAACCCTTACGTTTGACAGGGTGTGTTCCGGTAACGGTTTGCTTGGATCCGGTAACTCTCAGGTTTACTACTAATAAAGTTATGAACAAATATGACTGCCTTGAACAAATAAAACTTGTATTGGATATGTAAACTGAAAATAATTACATAAACACTCATTTTAAGCACAACAGCCACTTACGAACTTCCTAATATCAGATCAGAGCTCAGTGTTTCCCCGAGATAACTTGCCGTGCTCATCTCGTCTGGGATTTTTGTCGGGGGTGGGGGGCAAGTCAGCATGAGGGAAGAGGCAGCGTGAGCATTGCCTTTAACTTTTTAGCTAGCATGTCATTAGCTTAGCGCTACATCAGTGCTTGGGGGTGGGGCAGTTTGGCTTGGTAGGCGGGACGTTCGATTCTGTTGACGGGGCGCCCTGCTTGTATATGAGCGAAATGTTTAATGGGTAATCACGTTACGTACGTCACATATCAAAACAACGGTGCCAATTTGTAAAAATAACGGCAATCAAAATGTCAACTAGACCGTCCAATTTACTTTCATAAAAAAGTCCTTGTTGTACAACTAAACTGAGAATTGAAGCACATGAAAGCAGTGGCCATGGAGATGGTATTCGACACGGGGGGTTAGTGGTGTTAGGATGCTTGACGGAAGCAGAGCGTGCTCTATTCAAACAAGGAGAGCTGTTGGTCAGGATACTTCTTGTTGTTCTCTAAAATAGTTATAGAATCAAGTGTTTACTTATGTAGGTAAACAGATGTTTAACAACCCGTTAAAATACACCAGGACGCAGGAAATGGCATCTCTTTATTCAAAATTTTTTGGGGGGAGGACCCCAAGACACCCCCCCCCCCCCCCCTCTCCACATGCTAGTTGCGTTCCAGCATAGTTGGGTTAATCCCAGAGCTTAATTTATAAACAACACTCAAGATGGCCTCCACAGCTAATGGACCTGAGCAAACACAAAGATGTCGTTACCTCCGTGAATTCTTCAGGTGTGGAGCTCAAATTTGATCAAACAGATAAAAACAATTGATCTCGAGTAAATTAAATTCAACTTAATGAGGTCAGATTTAGATTCAAACTGCTTTAAACACAATCCAGTTCAATCCAGTTCGATCCAAGACTAATCCAGTGGTCTGCCAGTTGCAGCTCTCTGGTCCCTCTGTAGTGGACGTTTCAAGCTTTGACCAAAACATAAAAATGAATCTTACTGGTTAGAGCAACAACAAAAAGGGCCAGTCTGTGCACGTGAAAATAAAGCAAGATTCTCACAGTTCGGGCGCTCAAAACCCAGAAAACATCTCAGTGATCAACGATTAATTTTCTGTGAAACAGTTTCCTCATCGTTGATCGTCAGACCGGTGAGATCCGCTCGTCTTCATCGTAAATAAAAAAAGTCTTCAAACCAGCAGAACATGAAACTATTTTTTTATGGCTGGTATAAATCAACGTAAAGAGGTCGTGGCTACTAGCGGAGCGGCTCCTTCAAACAGGAAGTGACCCAAATATTTTCAACATAAAGTAAAAGGTTCAGTGAGCCTTCAAAGAGAAGACGAATGCTTGTTTTGTACTCCGTCCTCCAGCTCCTATCTGCTCCCCTTCCTCCTCCTGGGCCTTTCACCGCCGGGTTCCCCTCGCTCTGTCCTCAAGTTCACCCTGGCCTGGCCGGGGTTTGACCCGCTGATCCTCTGAGCGAACAGACGCAGGTACGTACAAGGTTCTACGAGAAGACGGCGCTAATTGGATACAGAAGCTGAAGAGTGTGTGTCGGCAGCCACGGACCGATTGGTCTGAATAAATGAGACAAACGAACCGCGATGAAAGAATCGATTGATTCTGGTGATTTATGGGTCAAGATCTGCCTTTGACAGGAAACTAATGATGCTGGATCAGATTCAGTCCATTTATAGATTTAATTAAAATGTACTGAATCCAATAAAATCCAAGTCAGATATGAAGTAAAACTCAGTTTTTACTTAAGTACAAACCAATTCATGGCAGGGAGACGGATGAAAACACCATTAAACACATTCAGTCCAAGTGAAAACAAGTTTGACTCCTCGTGATCATCGATTCAATCCAGAGTCAGGTCTGAACCCCTGATGAACCAAGATTCAGTCCAAGTCCACAACGTCCTGAATTCAATCAGATCCCAACAGAGAAAATCCATCATCCATCCATCCATCATCCAACCAACCATCCAACCATTATCATCCAACCAACCAACCATCATCCAGCCAACCATCCATCCATCCATCCATCCAACCAACCATTATCATCCAACCAACCATCCATCCATCATCCAACCAACCCACATCATCCAACCAACCATCCATCCAACCATTCATCATCGAACCAACCAACCATTATCATCCAACCAACCATCAACATCCAACCAACCATCCATCCAACCATTCATCATCAAACCAACCAACCATTATCATCCAACCAACCAACCATCCACCCATCCATCATCCAACCAACCAACCAACATCATCCAACCATCCATCATCCAACCAACCATCCATCCAACCAACATCATCCAACAACCATCCATCCATTATCCAACCATCCATCTATCCATCATCCAACCAACCAACCAACCAACCAACCTCAGCATCCAACCAACCAACCTTATCATCCAACCAACCAACCATCCATCCATCCATCACCCAACCAACCATCCATCAATCCATCATCCAACCATCCATCATCATCCAACCAACCAACCATCCAGCCATCATCCAACCAACCATCCATCCAACAACCATCCATCCATCATCCAACCAACCAACCACCATCCATCCATCATCCAACCAACCAACAGCCAACCATCCAACCAACCATTTATCATCCAACCAATCATCCATCCATCATTATCCAACCATCCATCCATCCATCATCCAACCAACCAACCATCCATCCTCCAACAACCATCCATCCATCATCCAACCAACCATCTATCCATCATCCAACCAACCATCTACCCACCCAACCACACATTCATCCACCCAACCACTCATCCAACCACCCACCCACCCACCCACCCATCCATCCATCCATCCATCCATCCATCCAGCTTCTTTACCCACATGTTCCTTTTTAGGTTGTGAGGAGCTGGTGCCCATGTCCAGCAGTTGCTGTGAGAGAAGTGGGGGGACATCCTGGACAAGTCTCCAGTCCATCAAAGGACCACACAGAGACAAACAACCATTCAAACTCTCACTCACAATTGAATAAAAATCAACAAGGACAAATTTAATCTAATGAGGACAAATCTGGGTTCAAATGATTTTAACCATAATCCAGTTCAAAGTCAATGCAGTTTAATCAAATCCCAGTTGAATAAATCAGAAATCAAATTCAAAACACCTAAATCCATACAAATGCAGTCAGATTAGTAACCCAATTCAATCCAACACAAACGAGCTGAATAA